TATTTTCTAGACACTGTTTAGCCTTAAGTTCTGTAACATTTCCCTTTGAAGACCACAAATCATGCACTTCCCTTTTTGGAAGTTATTCTCATTGTTCCATTGCTCTTTGGCAAGAGCAGTTCATAGCTTCTACTCTCAATTAATTTGAGAAATTTCCTTTGGAAACTGAGAAACCCTGGGGGTCCTATTTTCTGCCCTCTGAGAGCTTAGGGGAATGAAGAAGGATAGGACGATTTTGCTTACCTACCATGTTTTGCTGGTTCAGATCTCGAGTGGAAGCTTCTTGTCTTCTGAAATCTCCAAATGAGAAGCAGGCACCATCTATGTGGCCTGGAATACCTATCAATGTCAACAGTTCCATGTGCAGGTCTCAAATTGTGTGACCCACTTGGATTCAGGAAAAGTTCAGGAGTCAAACTCTTAATTTTCCTAAATTCTGTCTTCTCCAGAATACGAATCTCTTCCCTTATCATCTCCTGTTAATACATGTGACATGACTCGGAGTGGGATAGGGTCAAAGCAAGCATTTGTGACAAAGTCTCTCTGGAGCATACCCATAGCTCATCTAGGCTGGAGGATGAACTTGAAAGAGGCAAAAACGTGACCTCTCTAATATCATAAACAACTTTATGCTCATGTATTTTATTACTAACTCATCTTGTTGCAACAGAGTGCCTTTCTGTTAGGGTTCTACCTAAATCTTTATTGATAGGAGCTTGCTTTCTGGTACTTGGGATACAATATGCATTTTAACCAATATCCCAAAGTTATTCCTATACACTAGAAAATTTTAAATGACAGACTTATCAGCCTCTGGGCTTCTATGCCAAGAGAAACAAATTAAAATTAGAAATTAAGCAAAAGATAAAATGACAACTATTATGAGCTGAAAACCCATCTGTATATTGACAAGAGATTCCAGGCCTCCAGGCAGAATTGATGAGATATCAACCTAAGCATATCTTGGTTACAATTCAAAATTAAAAGAATGAAGGAGAAATGTTAGAAACTGTAAGGAATAAATAACAACTTACACACAAAGAAGAAAGGAAAAAAAATAGCCAGACATGGTGGCACATGCCTTTAATCCCAACAACTCAGGAAGCTGAGGCAGGAGGATCTCAAGTTCAAAATCAGATTCAACTTAATGAGGCCCTAAGTAAGTTAGCAAGACCCTATCTCAAAATAAAAAAACAAAAGGGACTGGGGATGTGGGTCAGTGTTTAAGGACCCCTGGGTTCAATTCTTGGTACCCCCCCCCCAAAAAAAAACAAAGGAAAAAAAAAAAGAACAAACATCTGGTGATGGACTTATCATGTGCTAGAAAGGAGGAGAATAATTATCTGTTGTAGGAGCCCTCTTCAAACAAAGACAAGACTATGCAGCATGGCTAGGATCTGTGCTTACATGTGTGATTGTCAGACAATGTTGCACTTTTAGTAATCACGTATGCACAGTGTTTCTAGGATACACACTGCACATGCAAAACTTCTCTGACACTCAGGATGCATGTGAAACCCTGCTGGAATACCCCCCTATGCCACCTGTACCTGTGCAGTTCTGTTGTAACTTCCTTATGATTTTATAGTATAGAAAACCCATGTGAAATGTATTTTTCCATATAGGGTAAAAAAAGGTCAAATATGTAATGGGGGGTGGAGGGGAAAGAGGGGCTACATAAGGTGCAGCTCTACTGCCTTCAGGATTTTGGATGAGAATCCACCCAGTCAGGGCCAGCACAAAATTCCTGTTCCTGTTGAACAGCCCAATGCCCTGTCTCTCCTTGTGTGAATCTGGCAACATCTCCACTAAAACAAAATGGAAGGAGCTAGACAGTAATGGAAAACACTTAGCGGGTGCTGAGGAAGAGAAAGAAACCCCAGAAATTTAGTACACAACTGAGATAGATTTACTTGTCAGGGTGAAATAAGTATATTTGCAGATTTGCAAGGAATCAGAGAATCGAGCTTTCCTGTAGTCCATAGTAAATCTTGGAGACAAAACTCTAACATAAAACAAATGATCCAGACAGAAAAGCAAAGGTCTGGGGATGAAAAGAAGGAAGTGGAGCCCAGCATGGCGGCATACACCTGTAGTCCTAGCTGCTGCAGAGGCTAAATCAGGGGGATCACCTCAGCCAGGAGTTTAAGGCTAGACTCGAAAATAGCAAGACCTTGTCTCAATAAAGGAAAAAAAAGTGATAACCAAAGAAGCTTTCTGTGTAGGTAAATTATTAGATCAGATGAAAATAATAGTGAAGGTTTTTTATGCCCCATCTTTAATCCCTCATCATAATCTTGGGAAGTGAATCTTTTGCTTTATAACTTTATCCCCCAAAATTAGAGGCTAAAAACAATGAAATATTATTTATTGATTTCTGTAAGTCAAGAATCTGGAAGCTGTGGCTCTGGTTCTAGGTTTCTCTTGAGGCTGTAGTCAGTATGTCAGCCAGAGATTCTGGCATCTGATGGCTTGATTGGAGCTGAAGGACTGGCTTCCTAAATAGCCACACACATGGCTGTTGGCAGGGGGCCTCAGGTCCTGACCACATGAACCTCCCTATAGGACTACTGAGAGTCCTTATAACATGGCAGTTGGCTTCCCTCAGAGCAAACATTCCCAGAGAGAGCGATGGAGAAGCCACCATGTTTTTTATGACCTCATCTCAGTTGCCACACACTGTCACTTCTATTTTATTCTATTCATTAGAATCAAGAGAATAAATCCAGCATATGTCAAAGGGAAGAGGAATCAAGCTACAGTATTTTGAAGGGAGAATCAAAGGATGCATAAAAATTTTAAAACACCACAATATTATTATTATTTTCTGAAACCCCAAAATGTTATTTAATATCCTCAGGTTTTACTGAGGAACCTTATTGGCCAAATTACACTGTTAATATTGTATGCATGTATGAATATGTCAAGATTCAACCATCATGCACAATTGTAACCCACTAATTAAAATGGGCAAACACTAAAATAAATAAATCCCCCAAGCTTATATGCACATTGGGTAATGTTGCTGACTAGACACCCAAATGTAGTGTAGTCTGACTAGACATCCAAATTTATAACCAGATACTCTACCCAAGAAAAAGGAAGACATGTGACAATAAAAAGCAAAGGTCAGGATGGCAGCTAAATAAATAAAGTAAAAATTACCAGAAATTGAAGCAGAGATTGATAAAAATACACTTGTTACAAGAGTTTAATACACTCTATGAATTAGGCTGATAAGTGGCATTTCCAAACCCTACACGGCCAACAAACTAACTGAATTGTGAGGCTTTGCCTACATTGAGAAGCGGTTATTCAAAAAATAATGCTTAGAATCTGTTAAAATAACTTTAGAGTTATACAGTAAGTACTGAAGGGTGACTAATGAAGTTTGAATATATATATATATATATATATATATATATATATATATATATATCTCCAAGGAGATAGAATAAGAATTTTTTTAAAAAAAATTTGATCATCCAAAGTCAAATCATGAAAAACCATTTACAACCATTATATTGACAAAAAATTTGATTTATTCACACATCAAACTTTTGATTTGTTCACACATCAAGTTTTAGCTAAGACACACACACTGCTGAAATTACATAAATTCTTACACATACTGGGAAAACAAGTTGTCATTATCTTGTTATACATAACTTAGGATTCATAAATTTCACTTTTTACTCTATATCTCAGAGGAACTCTTGAACTTGCTCTTCTAAATACATTGTCCAAGCATGATCCTAGCAGCATTTTCATTGCTTTTTATAGCAAATGCTGAGGACATCCCAAATGTCCATCAATAAGTAGAACTAACTTTGAAGGGGTATGGAATGCTCATATATCTGTTAAGATAAAGGAACCACAGTTAAACACATCCACAAAGATTAATTTCACAAATAAGACGGTGAAAGGAAAAAATATCATCAAAGCAATATGTACCATTCTACCCCATCTGTATAAATTCTCAAAACATGCAATACTGAATAGACATAATTTAGGACAGAATTCATATGAAACAATATATTTCTAAAGCCCTTGGATATGGATATTTCAAATACAAAATCCAGAATAGATGTTATCTCTGCAGACAGGAGAGGTAGAATCAGTATTGGGAAGAAATATACAGGGATTTGGCAGTAGAGGTAGACTTCTCTTTTTTTCCTTTCCCCCCATTTCCCCCAATCCCTCCCTACTTTCCTCTCTCTCAGCTTACTTTTTCCTCCCATTTTTAATCCTTTTTGTTACATTCTTTTTCCACAGCCTTCTTTTTCATTAGTCATGGAATGCTTTTATTTTTGTAGTTTTTATAAAATGTGTGTGTGTGTGTGTGTGTGTGTGTGTGTGAGACAGAGACAGAGAGAGAGAGAGAGAGAGAGAGAGAGAGAGAGAGAGGTCTTTAGAAGCTCTTATACTGCTATTTAAAATCCATGTTTTACATTCACATAAAACAAAAACTTTCATAATTTGCCTCTGAAAAAGTGTTCTAGGGAAAGGGAGAGGTGTTATGGTGCATTTGTAGGCTTTGAAATAAAATCATCTCCATGATATATTTGCTCCCACGTGTGCAGAAATATCTTTAAAGCATGTATATCTCCTAGAGTATGCAAAGAACATCTCTGGGAAGATTTACAAGAATCTACAACGTCTGAGAATAAATTCACTTTTCACTTTATTGTATAATTTATTGAATTTTTCATTTAATTTTACTTTCTAAACTCATTGGATGTTTTATCATTATTATTATTATTACCATATGCAGCTTTACTTTTCTAATTAAATCATGTTCTGCTTGACGGCCAGAGGCAGAAAAGAGAATGAAAGAAGGACAGAATCCTGGAGACCTCATGATTTCCCGCCTCCCTCCTATTCATTTTCCTGGAAGCAGCCACAGTGGGGGCGGGCAGGGGGCGGGGCGAAGGCGAGCCCCGCCTCTCAATGCACCTGGGCGGTTGCCCTAGCAACCGGCCCTGCGTGGCCCACGCTCACAATTGGCGGCAGTCTCTGCGTCTTGCACTCCGCACCCTGAGCTCACCTGGCTGAGCACTTGTCCTCTGCGGCCCGGGGCCCAAGGACTCTTACACCCTTCCCTGCTGGTCGCGCGCCTGCTCGCTCGCTCTGCCTAAAGGGTCACCTTTTGATTCTGGGCGCGAAAGCCAGGCTTCCAGAGCCCAAGGTCGGCTGGGAGTCAGCCAGAGCACAGAGAAAGAGAGCCCGGGCAGCCCCGGAAGGGCCTCGCGGGCCCAGGAGCATTGGTGCCAGGAGACACCGGGCTCCTGATCGTCCGGAGGACTAATAGGTGAGATGGCTACCTTGAACTTGCTACTTTGACTTTCCTCGAAATTACATCTCTATCTGCTCCTCTCTCCTTCAGATTTTTCTGAGACTTAAAACTGAAAGGCTCAGTTGAGAACCAACCCCGCTATAAACCAATGCTTACTGATGAGCTGAAGCTCATGAAAGTTTAATTTATTCACAGAGAGCCTGTACTGTGAGACTTTCCTAAATACTTTGTAAGGATTATCTCATTCTTTTCCCATTCAGCCGGATGAAGTGAGTCCTATTATTATCCCTAGTTCACAGATGGAGAAACTGAGGGACAAACTAGGTAGGTTGGTGTAAATAATGATGCAGGAGAGGGAGGATCACAGAGGATTTCCCCCCTCAAATCCTAGACTCTTTACACTGTGCCAACCTTCTCTCTTTCTAATGAACCTCCCTATTTCATATACCCATTTGAGAATTTAATGAGCTGTTTGTCTCCCTATCAAGGCAAGAAGCACTTGGACACACACACATATTCATAAATTTTCATATAATTTCAAGGTATTCAGAGCCTAAATGTACACCTCCTTCCCAAGTGAAGACATTCTACTCTATTCCATTTTCTTTTGAGGTTGTCAATACTACTGATTAGCCAAGATGACTCAGGCCTTGCTGAGGAAAAGTAAAAGTGTAGTAGTGTGATTACCCTATTTGGGATAGTATATGCTATGCCACTTACAAGGTACCTAGGGTTAGAGGGCAGGACTTTTGTTATTGCCTCCAGGGGTGGAGATTTTGGTCAGTCTTTATTGTAAAGGATAAGGGTACAGAGTGCTACCCTCTCCCCAGTGGGGCATTCGCTGAGAGAGATGAATTTTATACTAAACTGACCCATGATTGGAAAATGTTACATGCTGCTGATTCTTTGAGATGAATGGTATCAGAGACAACATTGAAGTCTCTGATTAGGAAGTTTCTGTCCTCTCAAATGAAGTGGCATTGTACTGATACAATCAATAAGCTATTTAGGAGCGTCTTACTTTAGTCTGAATATGTTATATGAATGTATGCAGTATGATACTGCACCTGACCATAATATGGCTACTAATCATAAAACATGCCCTAAAATAGTAGCTAAAATAAGTGTCACCAAGCCACACAGCAAAAGTCAAGTGGATGACTCTGAAACAGCTTATGGCTTTACTCAGACCCTATTCATATAATGAATCTAACAAGTGACATTCTCTGGTTCCTAGACCTCCTCCATACGTTATAAACAGATTCGAGGGGAAGAGAGGGGCTATAGCAAACAGGAGATTGAAACCACCAGTCATGTGATCCCTGATGTCCCAGCAGCAAAGATGGAAACACTAAGAAAAACCAGGCAAAGAATGAGGAGTGAAAAAAAAAAGAATGGGACACACCAGCATGTGTTTGACATTGGTTGACATTGGTGATTGCTCTCCTCCTTGACTTCTCCCAGTCTTAGTTGCCCTGAAACTGCCAAGACTTCATAACTCCCTGTAGAACAGGCTTAGAGCTTTCTCCTAACTTCCTAAATTTTATATTGTCTCATAGATTCTAACTCAGCATGCCCAATGATTAACTGTCTGCATTACCTGACCAATTTGGACCTTGTCCTAACTGCCCCATCTCACACACAGGGATCTAATTGCTCAAACCAGAAACCTGAGAGTTTTCTTTGAGTCCTTCTTATTTTAACTTTCCATCATTATTTATTGAGAAAGTAATTATCAAATGCCTCATATGAGTCAGGTTCTAGGTGGTAGAGGAATAATGCTAATCAAAATGTAGGCTTCCATGAAGGCTGTAGTCTAGCGGGAGAGAGAACACAATTCATAAATTAAATATCTATCTGAACTATTTTCAGAGAATCCATGCTTTAGAGAAAATAAAAAGGAGAAGGTCTAACATGGTGGCTGCAGTTGAAATGTTGAGAAGCACCAATCAATGGAAGGTCTGAGCCAAGAGCACTCCCAGGCAGAAGGAACAAGAGTGCAAATTCAGGGGCAGGAATGAACTTTTGTTCATAAACAAAAAGAAAGCCATTGTAACCTGAGATCACTAAGTCAGGGGGAATTGGGGAGAAGTGAGGTCAGAGGGGTGGGATTATGAGACCATAGTGAACAATTTAGATTTATTCTGCTGCAATGGAAAAGTGTTAAAGTGCTTTTAGAGAACTTTTTGTCACAAAGGTAATGTTCTGCATCTTGGTAGGGGTATGGATTATACAGGTGTATGCATTTGTCAACCTCATGGAATGACACATTTACTACTTATATGTTTCATTATATTCAAAATTGAAAAAAACAAATATATATTGAACTCCAGTTAAGAATATGTATACTGAAATATGTCTAATTTACTTTGAAGTGAATCAAATATGAGCTGGGTTAGTGGATGTAGGAGTGGATAAATATGTAATAAAGCCAGTAAATAATTACTGGTAGGATCTCTGTGATAGATATATGAGTGTTCAATACACACTTTATGTTTAAAAATATTTATCCAAAACTGTTGGGGAGCATGATCCTAACTAATTTATTTATCTACTTTTTTTTGGGGGGGGGGGGATAGGACTTGAGGTTGAACTCAGGGGCACTTGACCACTGAGCCACATCCCCAGCCCTGTTTTGTATTTTATTTAGAGAGTCTCACTGAGTTACTTAGCACCTAGCTTTTGCTGAGGCTGGCTTTGAACTCTTGGTCCTCCTGCCTCAGCCTCTGGAGCTGCTGGGATTATAAGTGTGCACCACAGCATTTGGCCACTAATCTACTTTTTAAAAAGATTATTCTGGCAGTTGACTAGGGACCAAAGGGGACTATTATGGAACAGTGAGACAGATTACAAGATTGGAAATTATTTGACCTAGCATAATAGCACTGGGTTGAAGTCAGAAAGTTGGAGATAAAGTTGATGGGATTTGCTGATGAAATTAAAAAGTGAGAGAGGGTCTGTGAGGCACAGAAAGATTGAAGGATAACTCTCATGTTTTAATCTGAGTGGTTAGATGGATGTCAATGCCACTATTAGACTGGAGAGCAATGTAGAAGGTCAAGGTGCTACCAAGAGTTCTGCTTGGACGTGTCACATTATAGATGCCTATTAGACATCCAAGTGAGAATGAAGAGTAGACAGGTGGATAGACTGTTGAACTCTGAGGAGAGTCAGCAATGGATTCCATAAGACATAAAGTTGAGGGTGAATAACCAGATGCTAAAAATTGGGCCAAAGTTCAGGAAAAGGGATGAGTCACCAAGGGAGTTCCTGAGGGTGGAATCCTGATGACCTTGTTCCATGTGCACTCCAAAAATTAGACATTTAACAGATGAACAGGAGCCAACAAAGGAGAATGAGGAGGGGTAAGGGATGATGTAGGAATAGAAATAAGCATGGGGATGTCATAGTTGCCTGTAGAGACTAATTTGAAGAAGAATCATGTGATCAAGAGTGCAACTCACTGCTATAGAGAATGCAGATGAGGGAGCGAGTTTGTGGTTGGGGTGAAAGATGGTACAGAGTTTCAGATTTCGTAGTGAGAATTTTTCCATTGCAAATGTTAGAGGTCCAGAAAACACAACTGTATGCCAAAATAAGATATGTGGAGGCAGTGGGGTATATTACTCACGAAAGCCTGAACATAAACTGGTATAATGGAACCCAAGCTACAACTCATTTCATCCATCTTTGCTTCTCTTCATCTTTCAAACATGTGCTTATTCTGTGATAGGAAGGATAGTTCCTGAAGCCCCAGCCCCACATTCTGTTGTTCAATAACTTCAGCAGAAATAGTATTTCCAAGTGGTTATCACAAAGGATGCCATAAGACATTGATTGGCCACTGTCGGTTATGAGCATGTTTCAGCAATTTAGTGAACCTGTAGAGGGTTGGTTTATTCAAGTGGGCCATGCCAAGATCACAGACCCATTCCTATGGCAAAGAACAGAAAGAACAACACCATTAAAACTACCTAAAATGGACTCCCCTTATGACAGTGGGGTTCTTGTCCCAGAAAAAAAAAAAATGCAGGAAGAAAAGCAAGCTGGGCATAATACCACTCAATCCAAAACAACATTTTTTTCCATAAACAATAAAAGGAGATAAAACTACATATGCCCATCATGATTTAATAGTGGGGTTCTTTATGAAAGTTCATAGTTACATCAACCATTTGAACTGCCTCATTCCCAAATAAGGTGACACAAAATCATTCTCACAACTTTGGTATCTTACAGAGCCCAGTAGATTCCTATTTGTAATGAGCACCTCAAAATCCAATACATTCTTTATAATATTTTTAAACCACTAAACTTGTCTGATGTCTACATGGTGGGAGACATGCTGGTATGGAGCCACATAGACGGGAGCTCAAGTTCTTATTTTGGCAATTGTGTTAACCTCACCTTCTTCAAGAGTTTACCACATCAACTCTACCTCCAACATCTTGGATACAATGGTAAAGCTGTGGTGAGGAGAGAAGGTTAAAAGAAGTACCAAAAGAGTTACCTAGCAAACTAATAATAAATTATGTGATGGAAGCATAAGTTTTATAAAAAATATTCAAAATTTATGTCACATGAATATTTTTTAAATTCATATATAATCCCTACTTTCTGAAATCAGTTACAATAAATTATAATAACTCTTCATAAGAAATAGCCTGTCTTCTTAGGAACATATGCTTTGAAATATTGTAGCTTAATAAAAGTAAAGATGATACAATTAATCTGGAATTCTTTCTTTTCTTTCTTTTCTTCTTCTTTTTTTTAACTGCTGTAGTTATTATTTTAGTACAGGAAGCATTTTTAGAGAGGCTGGTGAAGCATGTCTTTAGCAGATAAGAGACTTGAGAACTTGCAGATCTACAAAGTTCTTCAGTGTGTTCGGAACAAAGACAAGAAACAGATAGAAAAGCTGACCAAACTTGGACATCCTCAACTGATCAATTTCACAGAACCTGTTGATGGACTCAGTGCTCTGCACTTAGCCTCAGTTTCCAATGACATTGATATGGTCAGCTTTCTCCTTGAACTTGGGGCTCACCCTGATGTGCAAGATCGAAATGGCTCTACTCCAACAATGAAGGCTGCAGAACTGGGCCATGAACTGTCAATGGAAATACTAGCCAAGGCAAAGGCTGATATGACTATAGTTGATAATGAAGGAAAAGGTAACATTCCTCACATTCTATCCAGCAGAATAAAGTTCAATTTGTAGCTAGACATCAATACGATAGGCCTTTTTGTTTTCCAACTGTAGAGGTGAAATTACTCATGGTTTTAAGTGAAAGTTTAGGTTGTTATTCCTGTACCTAAGGATCTTGCATCCTCATGATTTTATCACAATTTAAGTATATCTTAGGAAATCCCAATTCTGGCTTATTGAAAAAGGAAGTTAGTATTAAATTAATCTGTATTTTGTGGTTTTTTTTTTAAATGAGGAAAATTATCAACATAATCCATACTGTATTACTATAATCATAATTATTCATATATAAATTCTTATGTAGGACAAAAGATGATGGAGATGATTTCTTATTCTTTACATTTTCAAACTTTGGCTAGTACTAGACCTAGGACCCCAGAAGGATTCTGTCACATCTCAATTGTTGTCTGATGTAGAAAAGACTTGTACCTTGGACCAGGGTGGATTCTGGTATATACTCCCAACTTTCTAGGGTGAAATTTTTAATGTACTTGGAAATGGAACTCAAGCCCTTAGAAATGGTGTCTCAAGGATTATTCAGGTGAAAGGGCTGTACTTCCACGTCCTATGACCTCCTCTAATTTCATCTCAAAACCATGGTCTGGGCTTCTTGCCTAAACAACTTCAGGTTCAGTCAAGTCATGAAAATCATCAAGTTACTTCCCACTGGACTTAATGTAAATTGGTAGATTGAATCAGTTTTCAAGGGGAATTGCTCTAAGTGCAAACCCATTAACATGTCAGCTTTACACGGGAAAAATGAATGAATCCCACTTTATAATGTTAGTGTTTTCTGATAGAAGCAAAATCTACTTTTGTATCTCTCTCCAGGCTTACTATCTGAGAAATGACTTGCTTAAAATAAGAAGAGAGAAAAAAGGAGAAGAAAAATTAAATTTAGGAGAATCACATAACAAAATTTACTTAAGATAATTTTTTTTAATTTTAATTGTTGGTTGTTCAAAACATTACATAGTTCTTGATATATCATATTTCACACTTTGATTCAAGTGGGTTATGAACTCCCATTTTTACCCCGTATACAGATTGCAGAATCACATCAGTTACACATCCATTGATTTACATATTGCCATACTAGTGTCTGTTGTATTCTAAAAGTTAAATATGGTTTAAAATGTTGAATCCTGAAAAAACAGAAGTTTCTTAAAGCTTTACAGTATATCATTTAAGTGTGTTTCATGGACCATTGAATCACTGGGATATTAAGAGTTTTTCATGTAAAATTGGTTCCACCATTGAATTTATTAGAGAACCAATGAATAAATCAAATTTAGATATGTATCTTTCACACTATTAGACCAAAGATGCTAACATTTTCCATATTTATTTAACCATGAATTAGTTTTTCCATATGCCATTAAATATATTTTGGACTTTGTGTAATAAATGTTGAGGAACACTCAATATAATGAAAAATTTTTCAATATAATGGAAAAATTTCACTTTCTTAAGTTTGAAGGAAAATGTAAGTCATATACAAATCAAACAGAAATTTTGTAGCATAAAGATCTAAAATTGTAAATTTTTAAAAAATCAAGGTAAAATCAGAAACAAGGTCAACTAAATATTCATAACAAATAGTATAGCCATATGATTAATATATATGCTTGTTTAAATATTAAACCAGTCAAGGTTCTGGGAAATTCATGTATGAAAAAACAATCAGAAAATCATATGGGAAGAAATTGAAAGCATAAAATAAAACTTGAAACAAATGTGAAATCTCATTTTCCACGGAATCTTATTAGTTGATTAGGTATAACCCATGGTTTGCCCATGACTCCGGGTTTCATCCTTCATCCTTGAGCCTAGCTCACCTTCGTAGCATCCTTAGCTCAGCCCCCACTTGCCAAACTGCTTTGCTAATTCCATAGTAATCTCTCGGCCATTAACCTAGTCTTTCTCATTGACTGCTGTGTGACTCACTGTACATTATTTATAAAGGATAAGCAAACATTTAAATGGCTGTTAGGGAGGATGTGAGCTATGTTCTAGACCTTAACTACACTTTACCCTTGATATATCTTGTTGATTATTCTTAATCAACTTTTATTAAGGCACAGGGTTCCCTTTCAATCTTCAGATTCAGGTTTTTCAGTTCAAGGAAATTTTATTCTATTCTATATAATTGAAAACAAATTACAAACATGTTGAAACTTCTTTGCCTCTGGACTCTTCCATCCTCTCAATTACATTTTTCTTTGTTTTTCCTGTCCCTGCCCATGGTTTTGGCAGCATCTGCCTTTTTTTTTTTTTTTTTTTTTTTTTTTTACTGCTTCTAATTTGACATTCATTTCTTTCAGTGGTTTTATTTTTCTTTACCATTGCTTCTCTAAGTTCTGCTGGCTCAATTTCACCATTTTTTCTTCTGTTCATCTTCTACGTTCCTCAGTCCTTCTTTTTTGGTCTTGGTCTATCTTTGCACTTCTATTTTAGAACAGGTTGTATTTAATTTCTTTGCTGACATAGGAAATGGGTCAGTCAATAACTTTCATTGGTATGGTTTTTCTAGTATTCACTTGTTACCTGGATTTCATTACCAAGTTCCTTACCTTACCTGGCTTTCATTACCATGTTACTTACCTTACCTGGCTTTCATTATCAAGTTCTTTACCTTTTTTGCTGAATCTTTTTCATAGGTCACATGCTATTTTCTTTTTGGTCATTGTGCCTCTTTGAATGAAGCATCCTTTTGGAGAGAGCTCATTGCAAAGTCAATTTAGAATTTGTTGGATGACCAGGACTTCCTTACCAACAATCTGCCCCAGGGTATAACAATGCCACTGTTATATATAGTACATTTTCTACGTGGATTATGTTGATGTTGTATGTGTTATATGTCCTGGGTATGAAGAGTTAGCATTTTCCTCTCTTCCTTGGAGTAAAATTGTTTGCCAAAGTGGCAGAGCTGTTTGCCCCATATAGTTTTTTATTTCACTGCTATTATACTGAAAGCCTGCTCCTTGCAAACCTGTGCAGAGGGAACCCAGCCATTCACCATACATCTCTGCAAATTCTAACAAGGAACACTTAGGTATGGACTGAAAGATGCCAAATCTTGACAAAGGCTCACATATGAGTGCTCCAATTTATCCTGAAATCGGATCCTATAACATTTAGTTATTACTATTTTCAAAATTGATCACAGATCAAGTTTCTCAGTTTTTATTTTCCTGTTTCAGTATTTTTAGTTGGTTTCAGAAGGAAAACCAAGGCAGACATGCCTGTGCTCTACCATTTTTAGTTAAATATGGATTTTCAAATGATCCTTTTTTTTCTTTACTGTCATATTCAAATATGTGTAGGCTGTTAACTAAATGCTCTTTGGGGATTCTATTTTTCTGCAGGTGTTTTGTTTTACTGCATTTTACCTACGAAGCGGCATTATCGTTGTGCTTTGATTGCCCTCGAACATGGTGCAGATGTCAACAATATTAACTATGAAGGAAAACCAGTATTCCTTAGAGCTTGTGAAGAAGCACATGATATTAAAGACATGTGCCTGACATTTTTGGAAAAAGGAGCCAATCCCAATTCTATCAACTCAGTATGACTATCCCTGTGATTATAAATATTTCTTTATTCTATTAGTGTCATATTCGTATAAATTTTGCATTTAAATATGGTAAAATTACCCTGTCAGCTTAGAGATTTTTTTGTTTCTACTCAAATGCTTGAAAATGTTATACTTTCATGATATTGTTGTAATTCCACAGTATACTTCCTAATTATGTTTTGAAAATTGGTACTTATTGTGCATAATGTCAAAATATCATTGTAGGAAATAGTAGAAGAGATATCACTGATGCCTAATCAAAATTTATCCCTCTTCGGAAATAAAATTTGTATTTCTGCTATTTTTCATGTACATTTGTTTTTACACTTGAATTGTTCTTAATTTTATTGAGTTTTCTTTTAATGGTCACTTCCAGAATCACACAACACAAAATATATTTTCTTCTCACTAGAAAACACCGATGACCTAATTTTAGCCTATATGACACCACTTTATTTTTTCACCCCATTTTTACTTTGTTTTCTCTTCAAGAAGGACATCTTCTTAGCAAGGTGTTGTCACAAGGTGTGAGCCTGACTCTGATGTTAAAGTTCTGTGTTTTGGACATTGATCCATTGTATGTACTTCCTTAATGTTTTTTTTTCTTTATATGAAGATGTAGAGAATAAAAATTTATCAAATGTAAAGCTAACATCAAATGGAGTGAACCCGTATTTATACCAAATTCATTATTGAACACGACGTAATGGGTGTAAACAACATTTAAACAACACTGGATCTGTTTCATACTCAGTCCACAGGTCGTACAGCTTTAATGGAATCATCAAGAGAAGGGGTGCTGGAACTAGTTCGGGGAATGCTGGAAAGAGGAGCCGAAGTGAATGTATTTGACAATGACAGACATGATGCTGCTCATTTTGCTGCCAAAGGAGGCTTTTTTGATGTAATAATCCACTCTTGGCTTTAAAATTTGTTGCTATAATTTTCTTTTTCTCAAATTATTTCATGTATCATATAGGTTACACTCGGGCAGTATTTTTTTTTAAAGTTACCTGTGTTGTTTTCACATCTTGATTTCCCTAAACATAAAAATTTAAACTTTAACAACATATTGTAGCTCTTTATTCAGGTTTATCTACTGTCTGATTTATTCACTGAATATTACCAATAAAATTTTGTCTGTGTATTTGACAATTAAAATTTCTGCCACTGGGACTACCCTATTTTGTGCCTCCCTTATGTTTTAGAATCTTCAAAGTATGGTTTGATATAATACTTTGTGGGGAAAATAATGCTGTCATTCCCTTGTCTCCCTACTGTATATGCACATCTAATGATATGCCTGATGTTTTTAAACTCAGAATACTCTGACATTTTGGCAAAGGATGTGTCATGGATACAGTGACCCTGCAGAAACAAAATGATAACTAAGGCTCTACCCTACTTTTTAAAATTCTGAATTTCACTTAAAATGTCTTTAATGAATTTTCTTTGAGTTTTGGCACAGTTACTTTTACTTTTTATGAGGTTTTCTTAAGTTGCTTACAATTACCAAATGATAATGCCCCAGATGAGTATAGATTTTTCTATATCCTGAATCATTGCTGTTTGATAAAATTTTTGACAATGATAGATATGTACTATATCTGATCTATATAATATAGTAACCCCCTGTGGCTTTTTAGCATTTTAAATGTGGCCAAGAAAGTGTGGCTAGAAACTAAACTTTTAATTTTTAAAAAATTTAATTCATTTCCATTTGAATTTTCAATAGCCACATATAACTAATAGATAGTATACTGGATAGTGCTGGCCCAGGTGCCAGTCTTCCTTCAGCAAATGTGTGTTCCTATTCCTCACAATCTCCACTGTTTATTTTGCAGATATTGAAGCTTCTTTTTGCCTACAATGGAAATATGGGGTTGATTGCAATGAATGGGAACACGCCACTTCACTATGCTGCCATGGGTGGTTTTGCAGATTGCTGTAAATATATCGCACAACGAGGTAAAATTGTCTAGCAATTTTGTGTTTAAATTATTTGGTTTACACATTTCACTTGTTAGTTGCGTATCTTTTTCAATAGCCAGCCTCAGCACCTTACTCATGTAGAAAGAAAATTGAAATTGTGTTTTTATATAAGATATTCTATTGAACCATGGTGGGTTGTCTTAAAAGTATAAAATCCATTTTCCCCAAAGTTTTATGTTACTGTTAAAAACCTGAAGGGGATTTTTCATGAGTTAACTAAATATTAAAATGTTTATAATTGATTAAACTCCTCACTTTAAAAGTGCCAACATCAATTTAAAAAAGAAACATTGAAAATCATTTCTTTTAGTCTGAATTTTTAGTTTAAAAATAGTCTGATATGTCCATATAAAGTTAACCTCTTTGACTGTTTCTGAGAAAATATTGGGAGGTACATAAAATAAAAGGAAAAATTTTTGAAACATGTGAAATGTAATCAGTATTTTTTATTTTCCTGTAGCTTTTAAGCAACTATAAATTTAGAAATATAAGCTGTATTATGTATAGTACAGCATAATGAGCTCCATAAAGTAAAAAAATTAGCAAGTTGAGTTTCAAGATTAGATATATTTATTGTTATTTACCTTTTCATTGAATGTACATCAAAAGTTTAATTCTTTAATAGAGATAGAATTGCATTTTGCTGGATTTTATGGTTTTTTCCAATTTATGAGAAATAGAAAAAAATGTAAATATAGTCCAACGACTTTCTAATAAGCAGAAAAAGTATTTCCACTAGGACCTAAGTATTCTACAGTTTAAACATTAATACAAGTTAAACTAACATACCCACATAATAGTGTATATTTTTATAAGTTCATATTCCCTTCTTCAAACAGTAATTCTTTTTAAAAATAAGGAAAGAAAGCTAAATCAAATGTAATTTTTATCCTCTTAAACTATTTTACTGGTCTTAGCTTCAAATCAGTCACTATCAATCAGCAGTTTATTCTGATATCTCATGTTTTTTTTAACACGGTGTATTTCTAAAGATAACTGTCTTACTGGGTTGAGGCACACTTCTTAAACTTTCACTTGTTGGCCTTATTTCTTCCTGGGGCAAATATCATCTCACATGAGCTCTATTATTTTCATGTACCTGGGCTAAAGTTTCAGAAAGCACATCAAGAGCTAAGGGTAGTGCTTGGGTCATGGGAAAAAGTTTTGCCACTGATTCAGAAAATATCTGTCTTTCTGGAGGGATCCTAAAGCTGTATTTCTAAAGTAAATATCTGAAAACAGAGTTCTGTAGAGTGTTTGAAAATACAAACATGTCACTAGATCCTATACTGGTGACCCAGTTCCATAGCAGAAGTTACATTTCCATCTTTAGAATCCTATCTAAGACAATCAGAACAGCGAGAAACCATAAGCAATGAAATGCTCATTTCTGAGTAAATGAGCATTTATTTAGTAATAAAATGTAAAGCACTCATAAATCACTGGATTCTTTTCTCATATTAAAATGTCTTCCTTGATACATTGGAGCCTTTTATCCATGTTAAGGTTCCTAATAGAAGGACTCTGGCAAAAGAGGGCAAGCTAAAGCTGGTCTGAAACTCTTGACCCTTCTTGTTGAGGTGGCTTGAGAAGTATAGGAAAAGCAACAACCAAAAAAAAAAAAAAAAAAAAAGCCCAGATTCCCTGAATAAGCAAAATAGCGTAGGAAAGGGAGTAGACTTGCATTACTATGGAATTATTATGCTATGAACTTCTATTTTGAGACCACATTCTCAGGACCTCTTTCTCAATAAATCACTGTTCTTACAACTGTCCAATATAGCCAGATATGGTGGCACACATCTGTAATCCTAGTGACTAGTGAGACTAAGGCAGGAGGATTGTAAGTTTGAAGCCAGCCTCAGCACCTTAGCAAGACCCTGTCTCAAAATAAAAATAAAAAGGGCTGGGGAAGTAGCTCAGTGGTAGAGAGGCCCTGGGTTCAATCCCCAGTATTGAAACACACACACACACACACACACACACACACAGATAAGTAAGCAACAACAAAAATCCAACTGTCAAATACAGAAATTTTAGAATCTTTATTGACCAAATAACCTTTCTGAGTTTTTCTATCACTAGTAAAATCATTAGCCTTATAAATATGTAATGTTTGACAATACAAAAGTATTGATCTTGAAAACTATTGCCAAGCTTTTATTTTTTATTTTTTATTGAGCAACCCCCTTTTTTATTATCTTTGGGTTTCCAGATGTCTTTTTTCTTCTCTCAAACACACAAAAGTAAATATCATGAACCCTACAGTACCCATCTATGTAAGCATCTTTTTGACAAGGAATTAAAACCACAAAGTATTGGAGGGTCTTGTTTGCATGCAGCTACTTGTCATTTTGATTGGTATCTGATTGGATGACAATCAATCCTTTCTGATTATGTGATATTGGCAAAACAGCAGCTTAGTCGCCTTCTAGATTGGAAACACTGGAAAGAGCCTCTTTGTGGTCTGACTTATTTATACATATGAAGAAATTTCAATGTCTCAAGACACATTAGAGAGAACACCACCTCCTTGGTGTGCTGTTAAATAGATTCCCTAATGCACTCAGAAAAGTTTCATCCTTTGGGGGGAATATTTGCAAATAATGTTGGTCTCATAATTTTAAGTAAGGAACCAAAATGGAAAGAGCATTTTGATGTCTAAGTTGCACACAAATATAAATTTGGAATTCTCAGATTTGATTAACAAATTAGTTTTCCCCTGTAAAAGCTGTATGTGACCTCAAGACAAAATAGTGAACTAGTATAAATTACCTTAATTTAATGAAGAATACAAGTCAAATATTAAGATTGTGTGAGTGGTTTCTTTTTGAAGTCAATCAAAAAGAAACAAGTGTCTTTCAATATTACAAGCTGAATCTAGACACTTCTCTCCAAATTCCAATGTACTCTTACTCTTTTCTCATTGATATAAAAATCTCCTCAGCAAGCATCCCATTTAATATTTATTTCGACTATATTTTTTTCTAACATTTCTATCTATAGAGATAAAATCTCTCACTCCTTTGTAAGCAGATATAAAATTGCAAACTCATCTCTGTCAGAATTCATAAAAGTGAAAGCCACAGGGAAAAAAAATATAGCTTAATTTCATAATTATAATAGCTAGCTGCCCTTATCTCTGTGTATATATAATTTTAGGATGAACTTTTGACTAATAACCCCAAATTGAGAAAACAGTTGGATTATCATCAGTTGTAGGACCACGCACATGCCTTGGCACCCATACCTAATTATGATGTTTTGTGTTTTAGGATGTGAATTGAAATGGAAGAATTTAGATCACAAAACTCCAAGGGCTGTGGCCAAAGAAGGAGGCTTCAAAGCAGCAAGCAAAGAAATACGACGAGCTGAGAGAATTGCTAAAAAACTGGAGAAACCTGGAGTCAAAAACCCCAATCCAAAGTGGGCCCTCAGATTACATGATTGGTCCATAGAACACGAGGCCCTCCTTCGAGAAGGCTTCTCCTTTTTAGACAGAGGAAACGGGACAGTGTCCAAGGAAGACTTTGTGCTGATCCTGAAGGATAAGCAAGAGTATGCAACCTCTGAACAGCTGGCCATCATAGCTCAACTTCATGAAAAGACCCGGGACGGTGGAGTCAACATAAATGATTTCTTTAAAGGAACCAGATACTTAAGCAAGTCTTTTGTCTTGGGATCTTATGGGCCCAAGAAAAAGAAAAGAGGAATGGGCAAAAAGGGTCGGAAAGGCAAATTTGTTTTACCCCTCCCAATCTGCGTCATTCCTGAGAGTGTATTTCCATTCAGGCCAGATGGTGGGCCTCCATATTACATGATTGAAACCTACCAGAATGTAACTGATTGCAGCCGGTTTAATCAAGATCACCCACCAGAACATCCCATTCAGGATGATTCTTCTTGGTACATTGATGATCCAGGGAAAGTATTTTCAAATATTAATTTTGTCACCAAGGCTGGGGACCTGGCATCTCTGAAAAAGGCTTTTGAAGCAGGAAAACCTGTGGATATGAAGGATAATTATTACAAAACACCACTAATGACAGCGTGTGCCAGTGGAAACATAGATGTTGTCAAGTTTCTTCTCGAAAAAGGGTATGTTTTGTTGTTGAGTGAGATTTAAGTTTTTATGAGGGTTCACATTTCAAAGAAATAAAATAAGGTCATAAGAAACATTCAGCTCAGAATTTTAATAGTATGGGAATGTGTTTCAATAACTAAATAGGTCCCATATGAGCATTCAGGCTAATGACAGCATAGACTTCTGTGTGTAAAAGACAGTTTGCCAGTGATAGTTGTACAGAAAGTAAAAGCCAACTAAGTGTTCACTCTGGGATTAGAAGAGACTTCTAATTATCACTGTTTTCCTGTGACAGGATGACTCATTTTGGTCTCAGTGTCTCACCTAGATGGTATGGAGTTAAAGCCTCTTGCTTTGTGGGGATCCCAACAGAGTCAAACTGGGGGGATGATGGACAGAATAACTAAGAACATGTTTCCATCCCTCTATAACCCACCATTCTCCTTCAGAGGGGGCAGTCTTTCCCTTGGTTCACTTATAAATATCTTTAAAATATCAAAACATGATGTTTTTTTTATTTAACTTTTAATACTAAAACAGTTGTTTTGGTTGAATTCCTGCGTCTACCATAGTTGTATAACCTGCCTTAAGTTTCTTCACATTTCCGTGCCTCAGTTTTCTCATTTATGTAATGGGGCTCTAATGGGACTCATCTCAGAATTTGTAAACGATTAAAGGCGTTAACTTATGTAGAGCACTTAATGATGCAGTAACTGCACACTTGAAAAATGTATCAATGTTGTTATTACTGAAACATTTAATGTCAAAGACTCAAGTTTGTATTCTCAAAAGAAATGTGAAATCATTAAGGAGAACTTGAACTTTTGGATAGTGAAATCCTAACAAGCTCCAAAATTTTAAATAATATATTGTAATGCTTTAAATTACATTTTATCTTTTACATCAATTTTTATCTTCACTGGATCCAGTTTTGTAATTTTCCTGGATTTTAACCTTTGTAAACATTGTAAGTACCTTTCAAGCTAAACAAAATGTGTATGTCCACAGTGTTAAGACTGTTAAAGTAATGCAGAAAAAAGAGATTACCAAGAAATTATGGCACAGGGTTGGCAAATTAACAACTGATAAAACTTTCCAAAATTGTACTTGCCTTTTTAGGTCCCAGTACTTAGAGCAACCACAATTTTTAATTTGTGCATCTATCTTTTTTTTTAAGAGAGATAGGAGAGAGAGAGAGAGAGAGAGAGAGAGAGAGAATTTTTTAATATTTATTTTTCAGTTTCCAGCTGACACAACATCTTTTTTTTTTTTTTTTCAGTCAAGTCACTTTATTACATGTCATTTTAGCTGCCAAAAAACACAGATTGGCTTAATATACAATCATTGATCAATGAGCCTCATTTTTCCCTAATTTTCTGCATATGTTATATTATAGCCAGTGGATATTAAGGAGGGGGTTATATAACTTTAAAATGTCTGCAGGATGTGCAATATGCAATAATCTCCATCAAACTTTCAGAAGATGTCCAGCAGCCTTTGGTTATCAGTGAACTTTCTAGCATACAATAAAAGTTGGAGTTTTCCTTGGAGTTTTTGGTAAAAATTATGATCACTATATAAATCATGGTCAGCAAGCTATAGTAGCTGTTTGAGTATTTTAATTAAACATAGAATCAGGTTTCTTCTAAAGTTGAGAAAAACATTCTCAAGCCACACTTTAGTCCCTTTTAAAGGTGATTTATCCATTAAACATCCAACTGTAATGCTGGGAGATATAGTTGTGCTGGGACGCTCAATTCTAACAAAGGAGATCATCTCCAAAATGCAATGTCCTGGACCATGGGCATGGAATGGCTGCCATCTAAGAATGATGGACAAAGCAGAAGATTCTAAGAGTAACCAAGGTTTTTGGGTTCTCTTAAATTTTATTTTTAACTGACATAGGACAGAGGATCGAACCCAGCGCCCCGCGCATGCCAGGCGTTCGTGTTACCACTTGAGCCACATGCCCAGCCCGCATCTATCTTATTTTACAGGGCAAACGTTAATGCAACAGATAATTTTCTGTGGACTCCACTTCATTTTGCATGCCATGCAGGGCAGCAAGACATTGCTGAACTGCTTGTTAAGTCTGGAGCTACCCTAGATGCACTTTCAATCAACAACTCAACTCCCTTAAGTCGAGCCATTGAAAGCTGCAGACTGGATACTGTAAAATACCTACTTGATATTGGTGCTAAATTCCAGCTGGAAAATAGAAAAGGTATGTGTTTGTATTATTGATGGTTGGGGGTTAGTGAAGGAGAATTTATGTTAGATTCCATACCCCTCCAATTCTGTTCTGATAGAACCATGTTTTCCCCTGGGTTACTGGTGCAAACATGAGCCTTAGTTAAATGTTATGAAAGTTCTTCTTAAGTACTTCTCAAAGCATTGATATTTAAGGGCCAGTTCTTTATGTTTGCAATCTGTTAGGGACTTTTATAAAATTCAATAAAAATGATTTAGTAGAAATGGAAGCCCAAGCTTTTCAATCGTTAGATTTAAAGAACAAAAAAAAATTGAAAAAGACTATCTATTAAATAGTTCTATAATTTCTTAACACTTAATTTTTGTGGTTATTACATTGTGGATCAGGAACCATTGATTTGTGGACCCGAAGTAGTTTGCAGGTCACAATCTGAGTTATCACTGCTATGTTCAATTCCCAACGATTGGCATGCTAGAGACTCTAGAGATTTTGGATTCCTCTAATAGCTGTACAAAGTCATTCCTAAATTGAGGCTTCCTTGTCTCTAGGAAGTAAACAGATGGCCTACCCTATGTCATAAACACCACACAGGAACAATTAAAACATCATTTGAATAAATACTTAAGCTCCTTATGTGGTAGTGTTATTTTCTTATATTGGAACCCATTGCTTCTTTTTGCTCTGAGACTTTGCTCATATCGCTGGCTTCTTTGGGCTGTCCCTGAGTCAGATAGAATTACACCAGGAGTACCTGATGATATGACAGGTAACATAATACCCAATCACCTGCCTGAGCACTTGTGAGCAAGCACCAGCTTCCCCAGGCCTTTTGGAATTTACCTTCTTACAACATGGAAAAAGGAAGATAAGTTAAATTTATTACACAAAAGGAAATGTTTGCAGTGTGGGGAGAAAACCATCAGTTGGATATTCAAAATATAATCTAATATTTCCAATCCACTTTTTAAGAAATGTAGTTAAAAGAAAAAAATTAATTTTTGTCAGTAAATGGTGCTTTAAAACCACGGAGTTTTATCACAGGGTCCACCTTTGAAGGATATCCAATCTGATTTATGAATTTACATGGTTAGCTTTAGTAATCACCCTGACTGTGCATGTGCATGCTTAAAGCTGTGATGCTGAGGTTTTTTTGTTTCCACCCCCCCCCACATGGTTTATCATTAAATCTACTTATTAAAACTCTAAATTTATGTTTGTTTTAAACAGGGCATAGTGCCATGGATGTTGCAAAGGCATATGCCGATTATAGAATAATTGATTTGATTAAAGAAAAGATAGATAACTTGCCTAAAACAGCAGAAAATCAAAAAATGAAAAGCAAGACACCTCCTAAATTGAAAACTGAAGGCCCTGAGATTAAGAAAGAGGAGGTAAGAAAAGAGCTCAATTACCCATTAGTAACTGGAACTCATTAAAAACTTGTTGGGGGTTTGGGTGGGCAGCAGCATTATTTATGTGCTATTATACAACTGGGCAATGTCATACGCAGTGCAAACTTTCAGCACTGTTATACAGTACTTTTAAAGAAATATCCAGCAAGAAGTTTCCAGTTACTGAAGACACTAAAAAGTGTTCATTGAAAACAGAATCTGCACAAAACCAAATATACTTAGGATGTTGTAAAACAACGGTCTAGGAGATATGTATACATTTGGTCTTGCATTGTACAGATTTGATGTCATGACCCAAGCAGGGAAGGGGGAGGGTTTTGAAACCTTATGAAAAATAATGTAAAGCGTGGTTTTCCTTTGTTTTGATCTCATACTCTTTCATTGCCTACCTTCTTCCCTGTCCCCACCCAGGAACTTTAATGAATTCCACCGAACTCTGGGATATGGAGCCACTTGTAACTTGGATATTCAGCAAAGTGACTCTAGCAGGTTTTTAATGTACCACATTGACTGTACCTGGTAATCTGGAGTGGTTTAGGAAACCCTAAACTGCCAGCACAAGGTTGAGGTTGCTGCCTATGGGTTACCTAGGCATCAAAAGTTTGCCATTATCAGGGAATGTGCACATTCTTGGTTGGAAGCATCTTTTTAAAGAATTCTTGCAATTCTTAATTCTAAATTCTTAAAAGAAAAATTCTTGCAAGACAGAGGACTAGGGAAGAAGGAAGGAAACACGCTCACTCATGCCATCAAATTGAATAGGGTTGGGGAAATGTCCATGGTAGGAAGTGGAAAGGGATTGTAGGCAAACATTAGAAAGTACCACTGTGGAGAATGGGAAAATATTAAGAGGTGAAGAAATTTCAATCAGTTGGGGCTTCTGCTATCCAGGCATTTTCATTTTAGAAGGACTTCATCCTTCTCCTTAATGAATAGCCACAGGTTAAAGGTAGATATTTTGAAGACTTATCTGATCTGTCCCTGATACTATAAAATAAGTAAAGTTAAACAAAGCAAACTAATATAAAAATATTCTATTTTATCTCAAATTGTATCTTATTTAGTAGTATTTTAAAGGTTTTTTCCTGATTCCAGAGTAATATATAGAAAAACAAATAATAATATTAGAAAGTGAATACCATATTTGAAATTTATAGTTTTAAAATCTTGTTTCCAGGAACCACTTTCATCCATTTATGGTATGCCAGTCATATCGGAGGAAAAGAAAATACAAAGGGATAATGTGGTTTATCTCAATTCATTGATTACCAGGGGCTATACCAAGAAAGTGGATATCACATATGTTCCACAAAGGGTAAGTACTTTGGAATTGTGGAGCTCATGATTTTATTTTTCAAATGTTTTCTATGCAGACCATCCAAATAAATGTCCAAAATTTATCTTTCATGGTTACTATTTGCATGTTTTCTTTTGCCAGGTCCTCCTGCTTTCAATTCAAGATATCCATCTGTTGGATTCTAATATCTATTTCCCCTTGTTAGCATTTCTATATTCACATTTAAATTTTCCTTAAGAGATTAAAGTCTTCTTTGGTCAATGATATTCCCTACAGTTATTTAGTGACAAAGTTCTATTGATACCTCACCTTGGTACTTCTCAGACCCAGCCTTTCTTTATACTCACTACCAGCATCTCACCTGGGAGTTTCTTACTAATTAAGACTAGATATATTCAATAGTCTCTTAAAACATCTTCAGTTGTGGATAAATCTATACGTGGAATTTTGGAGGAGAAGTTGTCTTCCCAACGCACATCAAACCCTACTGAATAAGCAATGCCTCCTATATGAAAATAGTTTTGACTTCCACGTCAGACATAAAGGTAGTAAACCCGGATGATCTTCCAGTTCCTTTTGCTTTCCTGTTTTGACACGATAAAAATGAACAACAGATGGCCTGAGGATAACTAAGGATAACTGAAGATGAATTAATTCAAGAACATTTCTGAGCTCAGGTCCCATATAGTCATCTCCAGAAGTAGAGAGTTTCATCTAACCAATGTATATAAGAGTGGAGAAAATGTTAAAAATACATTTAGAAGTTAATTTGATAATTTCAACTTATCAAAAATCTTTCTAGAATGGAACCACTATTTGACCCAGTTATCCCACTCTTCAGTTTATACCCAAAGGACTTAACAGCAGAATACTACAGTGATACAGCCACATCAATGTTTATAGCAGTTCAGTTCACTATAGCTAAACTATGGAACCTACCTGGGGCTATCTTTCAACAGATGGATAAAGAAAATGTGGTATATATACACAATGGAATATTACTCATCCTTAAAGAAGAATGGAGCTAGAGAATATAATGTTAAGCAAAATAAGCCAATCCCAAAGAATCAAAGGCCAAATGTTTTCTCTGATGTATTGATACTAATTCACAAAGGGGGTAGGCTAGGGAAGAATAGAGGTACTTTGGATTAGACAAATGGGAATGAAGGGAGGGGGGCATAGGGGTGAGAAAGAGAGTGGAATGAATTGGACATTATTACCCTATGTGCATATATGATTATATAACCAGTGTAACTCTACATCATGTAAAACCAGAAGAATGAGAAATTGTACTCCATTTATGTATGATGTCTCAAAATGCATTCTACTATCACGTATAACTGATTAAAACAAATTTTTAAAAAGCTGCTTAGGTCAGGGATATAACAGTGGTGGAGCACTTTCCTGGCATACACTTAATTAAAACTGTGTAATGAATATTGTCTGGATATGAGCATATTCGCTAGCCATCATGCTCAATAGCTGCTTTGGGTCTGGGGGGTTATTTCAGATTTGGAGTCCTGAAGCCACAACAGCCGAGCTGATCAGGAAAAGGGAGCTGCGGCGGGAGAGGTTTACTTATGAGGTGGACTTTGAGGATTTCATGATGCCTTTTCAGAAGAATATCACTGAAAAAGTCCAAGCATTGGAAGCTGCTCTCAAGATCTGAATTACAGCAGTTTCTTCATAGGGTAAATTCTCTGAGGTACAGGGATGGAACTTTGGAGAAAGTCAATGTTTCTATCAAAGTCAAAATCCCCCAATTAAGCATTCATTACCAAATATTTGGTTTTTTATTTAACGTCCATAAATGTTCTGAGATATATAGTGAAGATGTGCTTTATTTTGCAATGAATGGCATGGTACTGTGGATAAATCCCCCAATCACCAAAATGTAGTAGAATATCTGGCCTTTGGGTATGAACATTGCTGTCAAAAAAAAAAAAATCTGCCTGATGTATGATGTAAGGTTTAGTAAAGATAAAATTCTAGTAGAAATTGATTAAAAGTTTAATATAAGGAAGATGTAGTATGCAGTTGTTTAAGGAAGGAGTTTGTTTCTCACATACCATTATAAATCATGTGACTTAGATACCTTGGGCCAAATAAATTTTGGACACTCACTTCCCTTCCTACTCTGGGACTGTAAGTCCCTCAGGCCTGACTTCCAAATGCCAGAGGGCTACCTCTAGCACTTAAACTTGAACAGCAGAGCAGAAGTGCTTGAGAAATCACAATCCACTCTAAGCAACACTCAGTCAATGAATGAATACATTCAGATCCCCCAGCTCTCTGGTAAGATTTTTCTGAAGTGTACATTCTCATAAGGCCAAGTTTCCCACAGTGGTGACTGGTTTGATAACTCACCCTTCATTACCACTTTCCTTTCCCTGTTCCACTCTTCCCCTCCTTTGCTAGTTTTTATTGCCATTACCTCCTTGTCTCCTTTTGCTTCTGGAAGGGCCTAAACTAAGACAACATCTATGGTATTCTGAGGCTCATAGCAAAAGTATTGAAAATGCATTTCCTTTTCTTCTGTTTACTACAAAATAAACATTTCTCCAGTCTGGAGAATCTTCCCTCAGAGTCTTTATCTGCAATTAAGAGGCAGTTCAAGTGGTATTCACATAATAGCTGGTACTTTGAACAGAATTTCCAGATGCCAGGAAAAAATATGAGAATGTCTAGAGGTTATCATTGTGAATTTCCCTTAAGGGAATCCCATTATTTCCTGTTTTCTACTGCTTGTTCATTAAGTTGATTCTCAAGTATTTTATTTTTTTTTTTTGATGTTACTATAAATGGGGTGGTTTTTCTCATTTCCCTTTCAGAGGATTTGTCATTGATATACAGAAATGCCTTTGATTTATGGGTGTTGATTTTGTATCCTGTTACTTTGCTGAATTCATTTACTAGTTCTAGAAGTTTTCTGGTGGAACTTTTTGGGTCTTCTAGGTATAGAATCATATGGTCAGCAAATAGTGCTAATTTGAATTCTTCTTTTCCTACATGTATGCCTTTAATTTCTTTCATCTAATTGCTCTGGCCAGTGTTTCAAGAACTCTGTTAAATAGAAGTGGTGAAAGAGGGCATCTCTGTCTTGTTCCAGTGTTTAGAGAGAATGCTTTCAATTTTTCTCCATTGGCCTGGGACTTACCATAGATAGCTTTTACAATGTTGAGATATGTTCCTCTTATCCCTAGTTTTTCTAGTGTTTTGAACATATGAAGGGGTGCTGTATTTTTTGTTGAATGTTTTTTCTATGTCTATTGAGATGATCATATGGTTCTTTAGTCTATTAATATGATGAATTACATTTATTGATTTCTATATGTTGAACCAAACTTGCATCCCTGGGATGAATCCCATTTGATCATGGTGCACAATCTTTTTGATGTTCCTGTACTCATTTTGCCAGAATTTTATTGAGAATTTTTGCATCTATGTTTATTAGAGATATTGGTCTGAAGTTTTTAAAATGTGTCTTTGCCTGGTTTTGGAATCAGGGTGATACTGGCCTCACAGAATGAGTTTGGAAGTGCTTCCCCTTTTTCTATTTCCTGAAATAAATTGAAGAGTATTGGTTTTAGTTCTTCTTTAAAGGTCTTATAAGACTTGGCTGTGTATCCATCTGGTCCTTGGTTGGTAGTCTTCTGATGGCATCTTCTATTTCATCACTTGAAATTGATCTGTTTAAATTGTGTATATCATCCTGATTCAATTTGGGCAAATCATATGACTAGGAATTTGTTGATGCTTTCAATATTTTCTATTTTCTTTGAGTACAAGTTTTCAACATAATTTCAAATTATCTTCTGTATTTCTGTAGTGTCTGTCATATTTCCTTTTTCATCACATATGTTAGTAATTTGAGTTTTCTCTCTCCTCTTTGTGAGCATGGCTAAGGATCTGTAAATCTTATTTTTTCAGAGAACCAACTTTTTGTTTTGTCAATTTTTTCAATTGTTTCTTTTGTTTCAATTTTATTGATTTCAGCTCGGATTTTAATTATTTCCTGTTTTCTACTCCTTTTAGTGTAAATTTGATCTTCTTTTTCTAGGGCTTTGAGATGCAATGTTAAGTCATTTATCTGTTAACTTTTTCTTTTTCTAAGGAATAAACTGCATGCAATGAACTTTCCTCTTTAGAACTGCCTTCATAGTGTCCCAGAGATTTCAGTATGTTGTATATGTGTTCTCATTCACCTCTAAAAATTTTTTAATCTCCTCCTCAATGTCTTCTGCAACCCATTGTTCATTCACCATATTTTTTTGTCTCCAGGTGTTGGAGTAGCTTTTATTCTCTATTTTATTATTGATTTCTAATTTTATTACATTATGATATGATAGAATGCAGGGTAGTATCTCTATTTTTTTATATTTGCTAAGAGTTGCTTTGTGGCATAATATATGGTCTATTTTAGAGAAAGATCCATGTGCTGCTGAGAAGAAAGTGTATTCTCTCATTGAAGGAATGAAATATGTCAGTTAAGTCTAAGTTATTGACTGTATTATTGAGTTCTGTAGTTTCTTTGTTCAGCTTTTGTTTGGAAGACTTATCCAGTGATGAGAGAAGTATGTTAAAGTCACCCAAAATTATTGTGTTGTGGTCTATTTGACTCTTGAACTTGAGAAAACTTTCTTTGATGAACATAGATGCTCCATTGTTTGGGGCATATATATTTAAAATTGTTATGTCTTGTTGGTATATGGTTCTCTTGAGCAGTATTAGTATCCTTCTTTATCGCTTTTGATTAACTTTAGCTTAAAGTCTACTTTATTTGTTATGAAGATGGAAACCCCTACTTGCTTCCGCAGTTCATGTGAGTTGTATGATTTTTCCCAACCTTTCATCTTCAGTCTGTGGATGAGATGAGTCTCTTAGAGACAGCATATTGTTGGGTCGTTTTTTATTTGATCCAATCTGCTAGTCTATGTCTTTTGATTGCTGAGTTTAGGCCATTAACATTCAGGGTTATAACTGAGACATTATTTGTTTTCCCAGCCATTTTTGTTAATTTTTGGTATGTAATGTGACTTGATTTTTTCTCTTTAGTGTAATATATCTCTTGGCTGATTTTCATCATTGTTTTTCATTTTCTCTTCACAGAATATTTTTCCAAAGATGTTCTGTAGTGCAGGCTTTCTAGTTGTAAATTCTTTTAACTTTTGTTTATCATGGAAAGTTTTTATTTCATCATCAAATATAACGCTTAATTTTGCTGGATATAAGATTCTTGGTTGGCATCCATTTCTTTTTGCAGAGCTTTGTATATGTTATTCCATGATCTCCTGACTTTGAGGGTCTGGGTTGAAAAATCTGCTGAGATACAAAATGGTCTCCCTCTATAAGTGATCTGATTTGTCTCTCTTGCAGTTTTTAAGATTCTCTCCTTATTCTGTATGCTAGACATTTTCATTGTAATGTGTCTTGGTATAGATCTGTTGTAATTTTGTATATTTGGTGCCCTGTAAGACTCTTGAATTTGGTTTTCCAATTCATTCTTCATGCTTATGAAATTTTCTGATATTATCTCATTGAAGAGATTGTACATTCCTTTAGTTTGAAACTCTGTGCTTTCCTCTATCCCAATAACTCTTAGATTTTGTCTTTTGATGCTGTCCCATAATTCTTGGATGTTCTCTTTTATGGTCTCTTACTATCTTCGCTGTGTGGTCAACTTTTTTTTTTCCAGATTGTATACTTTGTCTTCATTATCTAACATTCTTTCTTGCAAGTGATCTAGTCTGTTGGTTATGCTTTCAATTAAATTTTTTATTTGGTTTATTGTTTCCTTCATTTCAAGGATTTCTGACTTTTTTTTTCAGAGTCTCTCTTTCTTGAAGTAATCTTTTGCTATCTGTATTTGCTCTTTTATCTCTTTGTTGGAGTGATCAATTTTTGCCTCTATTTGCTCATTTAGGTCCCTCTTTAATTCACAGATCATTTTAATTATGAACCTTCTGAACTCCTTCTCTGACATTTCATCAACTTTGCTGTCCATGGGTTCTGTTATTGTAGTGTCCTGGTTTGTTTAAGACACTTTCCTCCCTTGTTTTCTTTCTTTTTTAATGTTGTTTATGTGTCTTCCTTTCTTGCAATGTGGCTCTTGAGATATTACAGTTTATCCTGTATATTCTTGTAGTATCCATGCAGATTGTCTGTACCTTACCTTTATGTTGGCTTCCAGACCCTGCTAGTGTCCTTCAATGTATGCTATTGCAACTAAAGGTGGTGGTGGCAATAGCCAAGGTAACTTGAGATAATAGTGGAAGTTCCCCAAGATGGATGCAATGTCTTACAGAGATGGGATTGAAAGGAGGGTGGGCCTTGCACTGTCTTTGGGTTGCCAGTTCTGAGTTGCAGTTGCTTCCAAGCCCTGTCTATTGTCCAAAAGGTAGGGCTACTGCATGGGGAAGTCTATGGTGATGTCTGCATTGTCCCAAGATGGACGTGGTTAGGCTTGGGCTCCCAGGTGGGGGGCAGTGACGAACTCGGACCTACCCTGGGCCTGGGTCCTGCTCAGGCCAGTGTGGGCAAATCTGGACTGGGCCTGGGCTCCCACCGTGGTCTCTGGCCTGAAGAGGCGATCCTGTGCCCGAGACTGAGCTCCAGTGGGTGTCTACCAGTGGCAGGATGGACCTGATGATGTCAACTTTGTAAACTTCAAGTTAAAGTGTTGTCTATGTAGTTTCTCTATTACAGTCAATATTTTTCTCTTTATAGTATAAATAAGTATCTCATGGGTAGATCTTTGAAACTGTAAATTTTCTTTTATGTCCATAAATATCACCCATTAATTTTTAATATTCATTGATGATACTTGCCTGGAATGAGTGTTAAAGGGACAATAGCCATAAGCTAATTTTTCAACTTCATCATTATTTCCATTTCTTAGTTATTTTCTGCTGTTGAGCAGAGCTTTCTTTTCTCCACTAATTTATGTACTTAAATAAGTATGGACTCATGCATTACTTTCTTACTTAACAGGTTATAATTATAGGAACCCACTCAACACTCCAGTGTTGGTAATGTATCTAACAGCAGCAATTTCTAGGATCTAAGGCTGCCATAAGTTCCTCTTAGGGACCAACCTACTTCTAAGAGGGAAAACACAAATAAAACTGTTCCAAATCCATTTTTGAGGAATGTAACCTTTCTGGCTCAGAAAGTGACAAAAGGACCATTTATACCTAGATTGATAAACTATCAAAACCTTTATTATCTCCTGTTTGTTCTCCTGAAACCCCATTGATCCTTCAAAAAAAAAAAAAAAAAGCCATTTGTTCTCACATAAACACCCTCTCTACCTCCCCTTTTCCTATTTTTTAATTTGTTTAAATTTTAAAAACTATTACAATTGTGTACATATTTGTGGTATATAATGTGATGATATATAAGCTCCCGGTTCTAACTACTACTTTGAATTTCTCATCACAGTAATGGTAAGAAGTACATGCACACTGCACCTGTAAATAAACTCCCTTTTCTTTTATTTATCTGCCTTTTGTTAGTTTTATTCACAGACCCCCAAGTGGTCAACCTTAGGGCAGACAGGAAGTTTCTCCTCTCCTATGTAATTCTCTACTATGATCACTTACTTTGATTTGGCCATGGAAACCCCTTCAAACAGGCTCCTGATAAGTAGGCATTTTGCCTCTGAAAATAGCTAGAGAATTCTTATTTCTTGAATATGATGGAAAATGCTTACACATGGCTTCATTTGTAATGAGAAAAATTAATCTGTGATAACAGATCTGCAGACTGTAGCACTGTTTTCAGCCTTGTGAGTACAGTTCCTAAGTGTCAGCTTGATGTGTAGTGCTGTACTGTGATCGCCTTCAGCCATTTGCAGGCATCCACTGAGAGAAAGTGTTAATGCCAGGTCCTATTAGACCCCTTTCCCCATTTATGACATGTTTGCATTCATTTTAGAGGCTCAGGAACACGTCTGAATGAAAACTGTGAGGGGGGCACTTCAAGTAATTGGGTTTATTTGGCGTTTATCGCTAAAACCTAACAGCAAAGGCACAGTTCTAACAATAGCCTGTCAGGACATCAGTGCTGTTCAAAGAGTAGTCCATGGAGCAACAGCAGCAGCATCACCTGGGAGCTTGGTCCCATACCTCACTCCTCCCGAAATAAATCCACATAGTCTTATAAAAAAAGATTTTATAGAGGAAAACTTCTAGGCATAAAGAGACAGTGTTGATGATTAATGAACAAACTACATTTTAAGTAGTATGTGCAATAACCTCAGAATAGCAAATAATGCAACACACAGTAATTTTTCTAGGTTTTAGAATTATGAGTTATCTGAAATTGGTTTTATTTTGACTTGCCTAATTTTGTTTTTTCTTTTCTTTTTTAAACAAAATGTATTATTTTGAAAGAGGAAGAAATGCTAGTTGACACAAAAGTCCAGAATAACAACATGATTTTACTAGTATTTTCCTCTTTTATTCCTTTTCATATGTTACCTAAGTGAAGATTCCTTCGGTAGGTGATACTGAACCAAGAATTCAGGAGCAAACGGTATGAAGAGAGAGTGCTCCCAGGATACTCTCCTGGGGTGAATAGGGTGAAATAAGCCAGAAATGAAAAAAGTCATCAAGGGTGAGCTTTCAGATGAGGCCCTGGCTTCAAAGTAGCCCATGGGGGCTTTGGAGCTCCAGCAAAGGAGCTGGGCTTCTGGAGTCCTGTGTCAGTCCGTTAATAGCTACCAGGGAACTGAGTGCTGGAGAGGCTGTTTTACTGCTCAAGGGCAATTCTATGGAGGTGGTGGCAAGAAGTACTGGCTGAAAAGTAGGCAGGAGCTGGGGGAGGGTACTTACCATAGCAAAAGGCATTGATCTCTAATTTAACATCTGTGCACCAGGTAGGAGGGTGGGTTTGGTCGTCAGTAGGTCTGAATTTGAATCCACACCCTACCACTCTGTAACTACAGTCACGGAATCAAGTTCCAAATCATCTCTGAGTTCCAATTTCATCATTTATAAAGTAGGAATAATGAGAATACCCTTCAAATAGACTGGTTAGTGAGAGTCAAATGGAGTAACGTCTTTACGGGTACTAGTTTTGTGCCTCGCATAATTGGAGCTCAACAAGTGGTTTGCTTTTAACTATCTTTCAGTCTCTAGCACAAAGGAAGACCCAAAGGAGGCTGAAGGATGAGGACTTGGAAAACCAGCACAGCCAAGGTCTCCTGGAGCAGATGTACTTTCAGCAAAGTGGTTTAAACACATAGACACGTGATCTACAGTTTCATCGGGTTTATCTAGTTTCCAGTGCTGAGAGAAAGATGAACAGTACCTATTGACTGTGATGACCAGTCGCCCATTCCAGTAGCAGTTAATTCCAATTGATAAGGGGTCCAAAGGTTTACTTTTTAAAGTATTTTTTTTTTGTCTCCAAAACCTAACCGATTTGTGCTGGAGTCTAAACAATTCCGTAATTTAAAAAATTCCCTAGAAAGACGAGCTGAGACAGGGAACTCTAGTACAAGTGGAGGAATGTCTCCAGGAGAAACTTGTCAGGGCAATGAAGGATGCAGATTAATCAGGAAAATAACTAAGGCAGGATGTAACCTCAAAGGGGAGCCAGCCTCAGACTCATGGCACTGGGGAGCCATGGAGGATGAATTGCACCTTAGAAGTTGTTCTGCTCAGAGGGAAGCAGGCTGGGCTGTTACTCTTCTACCTGTCCTTGTCACCAGTATCACCCAGCTGACTCTCAAAGTGACTCCAGTCAGCCAAATGCAGTCCTCCCAAGGGAAAAAAAAACAGCTGAGAGCCACCAACCACAGCAGCTGAGCAGAACGGACCAGCTGGCAAAGGGGCTTTGGGTTAGGTACCAATAGCATCTGCTACAAGTGATGTGCTTTTGGGTGCAAAGTTTGGGTGCACAGTTTTAGAAGGCGATTTGCTATGATCGTTTTGTATAACATCCTTTCTCTTCCAGAAGAATATTTTCCACAAACTTACAAACTTGCCTAATTAATTCTTAAAAATAAAGAGGAAGAATGAGCAAGAAGAGCAATGAGAACTGATTAAGCACCTACCTAAAGGGGAAGGCAACTCCAAAATCCCACTGGCACTGTTTCTCTTCAAACTTGAGCATTATTAATCATTGAAAATTATAAACCAAAAGAAGCACTCAGTCCCAGCCCCCCATGCTCAGGGTAAGATCGTGTCTAATAAATACAAATGAATCAGCCTCATTGTAGTTAGTTGAGCAACTTTTATTGAATTTGCAATTTGGGAAATTCACTATGTAGCCATGAAGTGTACCCAAGAGAACCACTCAGAAAGGTAGTACAAAAAGAGAAAGGGGAGAATCCAGATGCCTTCTACACAGAGGCATAAATTTTGAAGTAAATAGCCATCTGAACTATGTTATTATTGTTTAACAATTTGCACAGAATGTATATTTTTATGGATTTGTGTTTCTTTAACAAGGATCCTGAGGGAAATTTGCAAATAAAGGTAGATGGGTCATTTGTGCAGATCAAATAAGCTCTTGCTAACATTCTCAGATCCTTAGGTAGTTGTTACTACATTATGAGTTTTATCTGGGTAATAAGGAAGAACTGAATATTCTGTTAACATTCTGGAACTCATTGGAGGTTTCTTTTATCCTAGATTAATAGTTGAGTATTGTGTGAGGTGGGAGATGTGTGTGTGTGTGTGTGTGTGTGTGAGTGAGTGTGTTCAGAATTAATGACAATATTTCCTTTTCATCTGCAGACTTTGAAGAGGAACTAATATACAAAAGATTTGTTTTCCATAGGTTTAATGATGTTTTGTAAAATGACTTGAAATAGTCATATGTTTCTCTAAACCTGGGAGATTATTATGGTCTTTGTCATTGAGACTCCAATATGAGGCTCCCCTCCAAAGGAAATAGGAAGTGAGAGAACAAGAATTTCCTCTTAATTAAATGATAAAAGCAACAGCTGTGTCTGTCTCCCTGTCCCACTCCTCAGCTCCCACCTGATAGCCCTGCTGAGATGCCAGCTTCTACCAGGTGACACTGTTAGCACTATCCATTCTTTCCTGTCCCTCCAACCTAGGGATGGTACCTGCTACCTTTGTTGTGCCTCACTGTGCCCTGGTGGCCCCATCAGCCTATACTGTCCCTGTACAACCAAATTCTTGCATTAACTTCCCTTTGGTCAGAACTCAGAGTGGTAGTTCTTTCCCTGGTTGGATCCTGATTTATCATGTATCAAACACTGGCATGTCAGGAGAAAAACCAGGCATGGCCTCTGCTCTCATGGAGCTTCTGGTTTGGTTGAGGAGACATTTCTCAATAGAAAAATGTACATATTGACAATTACACAGGTTTAATGTAGGTGAAGGATATGATACAGCAGGATAAAGAGCAAAGAAAACTGTAGAGAGGTCTAAGATTTCCAGGCATAGCTCCCTTTGGTCTGTCCTTAGTCACTGGAGACAGGATATACTTCATCTTCAGATTACCCACTGTTAAGATAAATGTAACCCGGGCCACATATATTGAGGAGTCTTTTATACTCACTGTCCGCAAGTAAAACCAGCCTGTTTAACCTGGTATCAGTGTATTATTGGGCCATTTTTGTGACTATAGTGAAATGCCTGAGGCAAACTAACTTTATGAAGAAAAGAGGTTTATTTGGATCACAGGTTTAGATCATGAAAGTCCAAATTGACATGATGCAGGTTCTGGTGAAGGACCTCTGACAGAAACAGCAGGAACATGTGTGAGGAAGAGCTTACATTACCAAACAGAAAGCTAGAAAGAGATTGTGTAGCCCAGGCTCAGGCTTTTAAAACAACTATCTTATGAGAACTAACAAGAGTAACCTGGAGACATACCTTAATTTATTTGGAGGCAGGATCCCATATCATCTAAAGACCTCACATTATTTTACACCTCTTAAAGGGTTTCATCTCCTCTCAACACTGCTAGCCAGGGAACCAAGCTTCAAAATCTCAGGGAAACCCCCAATCCATATTTAAGCCCTAGCCACCCAAACTGTGTTCAAACTATCAATCTGTATACCCCTAAACAATGTAGACAAGCTAATACAGATTGCTTCCAGGGGAATAATTATCTTTAACACATTGCAAAGTCCTAGCTACTCCATTTCGCGTGTGTGTGTGTGTGTGTGTGTGTTGGCTCTGATTAGAATGAGGTTTCATTTTAGTCTCATGACAAAACTTCAGGCACCCCAAGAGAGAAGCAGAGGAGCTGCTCTAGTATAGCTGGAAGGCAACCCTACCTCATGCAGCCTGTGAACTTACAGTAGATGCCAGAGAATCAGGGACACTCTCACTAATATGAGAACATTCTAGCCGAGGTCTGAAGAAGGCATGAGAAACTAAGTTGGCCCTAATGGGAAGGAAGAATCTGGTGCAAAGAACAGCATTTTGCAAGCAGATCCATTCCAGCAAATGGAATAACACACAGGAGCATAAATAAAAATTGGGCTGTGGAAGAGGCCAAAGCTAGATT